TGCATCCCCCCTGCAGCCCCCCCTGCTGCCCCCTGCCCCCTCTGCCCCTCACCAGGGCTGGTGCTTGGGGATCCTCCTTCTGCCCCAGGGAGCCCAGAATAATTATAATCTTTTTTAAAAAAATAAAATCTTAATTTTTTTGAGTGCTCTTAAGAAAACAAAAAAAAAAGCCAAGCCCCAGGGCACGTGCACCCAGCTGAAGCCTGGGAGGTGTCACCCCTGCTGCTGCTGGTGGCACAGGGAGAACAATGTCCTGAATAAATGAAAAGTCTTAATGGTGACAAGCAGCCTGTGCCAGCTCCTGGTGCTGCTCTGGCTGCAGCTGAGCTGGGGCTCTGGGGGACTGGGGGGAAAAACCTGCCTGTCTGTTGTGTGTTGGGCTTTGGCTGGTTTGTATGGCCTTGTGTTTAGTGGAAAAGGGCCTGGCACAGCAGGTCTCTGCTGTGGGATGAAGCAGCTCTGCCTGCCCAGAGCATGGGGTGCAGGTCCTTCCTCCAGGAGTGGGTGACTGAGATGCTTTGTCATAGAATAATTTAATAGTTTGGGTCTTGAAAATGACTTTAAAGCTCATCCAGTCCCACCCCCCTGCCTGGGCAGGGACACCTCCCACCAGCCCAGGCTGCTCCAAGCCCCATCCAACCTGCCCTTCAACACTGCCAGGGATGGGGCAGCCACAGCTTCCCTGGGTCTGTGTCTCACCACTGGAATGACATCCCAGTGGAGGGGACCCATTCCCTGGGGAGGGCAGGGAAGGGTGGCAGGGCTGGGAGCAGTGCTGCAGGCTGAGGTCTGGGTGGCACCACCTGGGGTGGTGGCAGCACAGTGGTGTCCCCAGTGCTGAGCATCCTGGGTGTCCTCATATGGGGCTCTCTCTCTCTCTTTTGTGCAGGGCTGAGGTTATCCTGGGGAACATCCTGAAGAAGAAGGGCTGGAGGTACTGTATCACCAGCTGAGGGGGAGCCCAGGCAGGAGAGAATCCTCCTGGAACTTGAAACAAGGCGTGTTGGTGATGCTGGCCCAGGTGTCAGGGCTGTGTATGGAGCAGTCAGCCAGGCCTCCTGTGGCAGCCAGATCTTCCAAGTGCCAAATAAAAATGCTCTCCTGGCTTGCTGGGAGTGCACAGGGGCTCCAAGCCATGGAGCACCAGCCTGGAGCATCATCTCCCTGCACAGCCCCACGACCACAATTCCTGAGCCTGTCTGCCAGCTTTTCCCTGCACTCTTCTCTCTGCAGGTGGGAAGGTGCATTAGGGATGCAAAGCTGTGATGGGCCTTCAGCTTGGCTGTGATGATACCTCGTTTAGATGATGTGCATTAGTACATGTTTTGTAGTTTTAAGAGCATTTGCATAATCTTTGAAGACCTCTGGTGTGTGTCATGTTCAGCCCCCAACTGAAGAGTGGATCCTGGTGGGGCTCATCCCAAAATCATCATCCCCTGTGCTGGGGGAATGATTAAGCAGGAGGGCATAATATTCTGGGTGCTGGGGAAGAAAGAAATGTAAGTTAATCAGAAGCTGGGGGACTGTGTGTTGTACACGTGCAGATACGTAGCAAGGGGGTTTGCAGACAATAAATCTTTGGTTTAATGTTGCATAATAATAAAAATATCTCTGTTCTGTTTGCAGGAGATCCAGTCTGGTCATAACAACAAAATTGTACTGGGGTGGAAAGTAAGTCTCAGTTACTGGTTCTCTTTCAGCTTTGTGGTCCCGTGGAGGTTAATGGCACCACAGAGGGGGGGCCTGTTGCTGTCATTTCCCTTCTCTTCATTCTGCCAGCTCATTTAAAGGGTTGGAGCTTGGCAGGACTAGGGTTGTCATGTCCTAGGCAGAGCTGGGCCCCAGGAGGGGTAACCAGCTTTGATTTTCAGCTCCTGAGCCTTTTCCCAGCTCTTTTCCGTTGAGGGTTGGCCCCCCAAACAAAACATCAACCTGTCTGCTGGAATGGCTGAGGAGACACCTAAGTGAGCCACGAATGTGTCTGCAAACTGGGGGGCTTCCATCAGACATGTAGTGCCAATGACCATAATTACATTTCCCCCCCTGTCTCACTGAGGTTATTCAATGGTGTGTTGGAGCTGAGGTGCAACACAGACCCCTGCTCTTCTGAGAGAGTCAGGGTGTAACTGAGATGATGTGTTTTGGTCTGGTGGGTCTGCCAGGGCTGTCCCACCTCAGCGTGCCCTTGTGTCACAGCAGGCTCTGGGGGCTGCCCAGTGGGTTAGAAACAGACCAGATGAAGCACTCAGAAGGGAAAATCATGGAGCCACGTGTCGCCCCTGGATCTGGCTCAGACATGAGTGATGGGCCACAGTTGCATGGGTCTTGTTGCCTTGGCAAGGTGACCTGCCTGGAGGAGGCCTGGTGCCAGCAGATGGGGTGGTTAATAATGGGGGGGAACTTGGGCTGTGCCCGTGTTGTGAAGCAGCTTCGTGTCTCCCAGGCTGCTGGTGGGAGAGCAGGTTGGATGCTGCTTTGCTCTGGCATTGCAGGTGGCCTCAGCAGAGGCTCAGAGATGTTCCTGCTTGTCCCAGGTGCTGTGTCTGAGACTGGGAACCCCAATGAGGTTCACGGTGTCTCTGCGGTAACTTCGTTTTGGGGATGTTTAAACCAGGAGACAAATTTAGCACTCCCTGCTGTTAGACCTCTAACAGCCACATCCCTGCTGTTCCCTTGCAGAGCTGAGACAGAGAGAGGCCTGTCCAGGAAGCACATCATTGAAGGTACGTGTGGCAGGGGCTGTGGGGCTGGCACATCCCAGCACGGGTACCAGCCGGGGACCCCGGGGCTGTCCCAGGGCAGCTCTGCTGGACTCTGGTGCTCCAGGCCCTGCTCAAGCCCTTGAAGGGCCCAAAATGCACCCAAGGATTTTTCAGGCTGGTCTGAAAAAGCGTGAGGCAAAGCTGCCTCTGCCACCCCTGTGTGCAGCAACAGCCTCCTGGGGCTTTGTGCTGCCCTCGGGCTTACCTGCCCTCATCCCTTACCTGCAGCCTCTGGGCTTCACCTCCCCGGCTGCTGATCCCAAGTGTGGTGGGAGGCTGAGAAGGCTTGTCGGGTCTGGGGCTGCTCTGCTGACCCCCTGAACCTCTTCTGGAGGGGCTGGGCCACTGGCCATGAGCTCCCGCAGGGGAGCAGGGAGGGATGAGGAGGTGGGTGTGAGATCAGCTGGCAGAAGTGGCTCCTGCTGGCCAGGCAGCTGGCTGGGAAGGGCTCTGCTTTGCCCTCACTGCTGCTCCTTCCAGGTGCTCAGCTCTTGTGCACATTCCCTCACCTGGCTCCTTGCATCCTGGGCCATGTCCCACTGAGTGATGCCCTTGCACAACCTCAGCCATCAGGGTTTATTCACCCAGGACCTGCTTGTGTGCAGCACATGTTCCTCATCCTCCTTCTGGGGGCTTTTTGTGTCCTCTTGGGTGTGTTGCTGCTGGAGAGGGAGTGGGGGCACAAACATCTTTCTGTACATACAAGTGTGTGTCACTTAATCTGTCTCTTCCTGAGGGCTGCTTGGTGTCAGGCACCCAGGCCCCCCAGCCATGGGCATCATTAACCTGTGCAGGACACGAGTAGAACAGCACCCATAAAAAGAGACATGTCTGTCATTTTGAGGATCAGCACTGTCAGCCATGACCTTGTCCCAGTGAGAGGCACTGGCCTGGGCTGGCTCCTGACAGGGGCTGCAGCAGAAACCCCCCCAAGGAGGACACTGGGGCTGACAGTCCCCCCATGCAGGTCATGAGAGGGTCCCAGACCCAGAAAAGCAGCCAGCAGCACGGGGGCTGGGGCTGTCTTCTGCTGAAGCCCCAATTCAACCAGCATGGCTGGGGAGAAAACCTGCCCCAGGCTGTGGAAGGGAGTTACTGGAGGTGCCAGCTCTGGGACAGACAGGGCTGGTGCCTGTGCCTCACCTCCCTGCAGAGGGACCCACACTGGCTGCTGTTTGTCACCCTCCTGCCACCCAGGGAGGGGCACAACCTGTTCTCTGGGTTCCCAGGAGATGATGTGCTCCATGCCCAGAGCCCAGGGCTGCTCCTTGCTGAGCAATGCCAGGCTGGGTAATCCCCAGGGAGCAGCAGTCTCCCTCCTCCAGCCCTCTGCAAGAGCTGCAGCAATGAGAAGCCATTCTCCTTATTGTACAGAGTATGCTCAGGTAATTAGTCTCCTCCTTGATTTATGAGATAAACCCTAATTGCTTTCAGTGGTGGCTGGTTAGGCCAATGTTTGCTGCCAGGATAAATCAGAAAAGGGAAATTCCACCTCATCTTCATTAGGAGCCTGTGGTGGTGGTGGGAGCTTGATGGCACAGGGGACCAGCCTGTCCCCAGCTCACATTTGTCACAACTTTCAACAACCAGGATCTGTTCTCTGTATGTTAAAATAGATTCTATGGGAAATACTATTAATGTGTTGAATTATCACTGCCACCTGCCTAATGCCATCCCAAGGGAGTGAGGTGGGATGAACCTGGCAGTCAGCAGGTGGGGTGAGCAGGGCAGCTCCCCCAGGTGCAGCCTTCACCCCTCCTCAGCTCTCATCCCAGAGGAGCTGTTTGTCCATGGTATGGAGCACGGTCAGTTTTGCCTCATCATAACCAGGTCAAACATCTGGGATTACCTTGGAAGTCATTCAGTATTGGCAGAATTCAGCTGCATTAAGATGTGACTGTTGGTTGTATCAAGGTGACGCAGGAGGAAGGTTTCTAGCATCATTTTATTGAACTTCCATTTGATTCACCCCCTGTGAGGTGGTGGGATGAGACCCAGAGGTGCTCAGGGAAGCTGCAGTCAATGTGACAGGCAGCCCAAACCCATCCCTTCTCCATTTCTTGTGGAGCTGCTTTATGAGAGGCCAGCAAAATACTGGCAGCAGTTGAAACAACTTCACAGAACAAATAGCAAATAACGTCAGGTCAGTGTCAGCTATTTTCTATAAATACATTTGGCAAAAATGGCCATTTTTTTTCCCCTCACAAGATTCAGTAACATTTTCAGACTGCTCTATTTTGGCTTATTATTCATGAACATTCATAAAAACATTTTGTTCCTGGGAAGATTCAAAGAAAATAAGTGCTAGAAATCCTCTTCCCTCTCACGCACACACACACAGAAATGTATGTAGGCTTTTCATGCCATCTCCCATCTGATCCTCAGGGAAAAGCTGCTGGAGCCTGGACTGTAGCTGCAAAGAGGTGCCCTGTCCTGCTCTGCAAACCTCTTTTTGCCCTGTGTGACGTGTTGGTGGACACATCCTGTCACCCTGCCCAAAGAGTCACCTCCTTCTGGTGCTTTATCTGCTGGCCATGATGTACCTAGCAGAGGGTCACCAGGCTGGCATGTCTGGAAGGTCCCCCTGGGCTTTGTTGGGTGAGACAGGACTGGGGCAAGGTGCCCCAGGCTGCCTCTGTGAGAGACCTTAGATTAAATAACCTCTGACCAGAAGCAGAGAGATTAGGTCAGTCCCCACCTCCTGATGGCCACGGTCATGCTTGGAAAGCAGCACCTGTTCTGACCCAAATCTCAGCATAATTCCAAAATAAAGCAAATGCTGGTGGAAGTGGAGAGCTCTTCAGGTGGCCCAACTGGTGGTGTTTTCTTCTGAGCATGGAGAGCAGAGACATGGGACCACCCCACCCCGTGTCCTGCTCGGGTGCTGCGTGGTTGTGTGCACATCCATCTGAAATGTCTGTGTGTATAAAGCCAACCAGCTGTGTTGGAGCCCTGATGTGAGGCTGCTGTGTCCTGGCCAGCTCTGTGCTCCCACCCTCACCTCCTGCTCTCTCTTGGCTGTCTCCAGGGCTCAAGGCTTCTCTGCAGAGGCTGCAGCTGGAGTACGTGGACGTTGTCTTCGCCAACCGCCCGGACAACAACACCCCCATGGAAGGTCAGTGGCAGCTGGAATCAGAGTTTGTCACCTGGCTGATCCTGGCTTACAGGCTTAGGCTGATGGTGGCAGGAAATGAAAAGCAATTTTTAAATGAAATATTCAGGTGGGGCAGCTTAAATGTGACCTACCTCATTGGTGATGTCCTGCAGCCCTTAGATTTACACTTCAATGACACGAATTTGTGCCTCTGGGAAGGAAATTGACATTTCCTGTGTGTCCCAGGGGGGCCTTTACATTTGTTTTGGGGTTTATTTCCTTTTCCTGATTGCTGCAGATAAAGTGAATTAGTGCTTGCATTTAAGGCAGGTCTGCTTTGTGCCAAATGACACCTGTATTTCCCTGCCCCTGGTGCTCTAGAGGGGAGCTCTGCTGTTCCCATCCTTGCCCCTGTCCCCTCAGACAGCCTGAGCTGCCTGCTGCTAAAGCCAGGTGTGCCATCAGGGAACAGGTACATGCAGGAGCAGAGTCAGGAACCTGCAAGACCTGTGCACTTTGTGTTTCACAATTGCTGATAACCACATGTCTGCTACATGGTGGTACAGCCCAGTTATCCAGGCACCCCCATCACTGTGTTTTGGGGTCAGTGCCCTATTTGATGGGCACCAGTTCCCATTCCTTCTCTTTTCAGAGCTACCACAGCCACTCACACTGTGGCAGCAGATCAGCCTCACAGCTATAAAATTTAAAAAGACAAGAAGAAAGCCTCTCAGGCTGCAGAAGCTGTCATGGATGAGCAGACAGGAATTGAACCAACCTGGAGCATGACAGGTCCCACCAAAGCTCCTGGTTTGTCTTTCAGCTGTGATGGCACCAATTTTGTGGCTGGCAGTGCCAGTGCTGTGGTGCTTGTGTTTGTGTTCAGTTCTGGGCCCCACAGGATAAGGAAGATATTGAGGTCCTGGAGTGTGTCCAGAGAAGAGCAAGGAGGCTGGTGAGGGGTTTGGAAGGCAAGTCTTATGAGAAGAGGCTGAGGGTCCTGGGGTTGTTCAGTCTGAAGAAGAGAAGGCTCAGGGGAGACCTTATTACTCTCAACAACTGCCTGAAGGGAGGTTGTGTGGGGGCCAGTGTTGGTCTCTTCTCCCAAGTAATTTGTGATAGGACAAGAGGAAATGGGTTTAATTTGTGCCAGGGGAGGTTTAGGTCGGATATTAGGAAAAAATTTCTTTACTGGAAGAGTGGTGAGGCCTTGGGACAGGCTGCCCAGGGAGGTGGGGCAGTCACCAGCCCTGCAGGAGTTCAGGAAGCATTTAGATGTGGTGCTTTGGGATATGGTTCAGGGGCTGTGGCAGTTGGATTGATTACAGTTGGACTCGATGATCTTGGGGGTCTTTTCCAACCTTAATGGTTCTGTGGTGGGGGTGCAGGGAACTGCCCTGGGATTCCGGGGCCAGTGCAGATTTCACAGCAGCAGCTGAGGTCAAGAAAGATGCTGTGTTGTATCTTGGAGGCAGAACTGACCTCCCTGCTAGGTCAGTTGCCCTCTGATGAGGTGGCACAGGACACATGTCCCCTGTGCCCACACACCACGGCTCGTCTTGGGCAGCTGTAGCTTTTGAGATGCTTGGGCAGCTGCTGGGGCTGTGGAGCTGGAAAGCTGGGTGGAACAGGGGACACTTCTATTATGAATGGTGTGCTGCTGATTCTTCTCGTGTACTTCGTGCTTTTTTTATGGTTCACCTACCAAGTCACTTCTCTCCCAGAGCATCTGTTGAACCATCTGTCAGTTCCGCACTCGCTGGCACGCACAGGGAGCTGCCTCCCCAAGGCTCTCCCTCCCTGCCCCCTTTCCTCACATGTCTCTGCTGTTCCCGTGAGCAGATAGTCACTTCTGCTGGGGAGGGGTGTGTAGGTGACCTTAAACTGTTCCCTGCTAGTGCTCCTCAGGCCACAATGTGAGGGTCCTGCTCCAGCAGCTAAAGCTGTCATATGCTGGAAGGTACAAGCAGGGAAGTGCAAGGATGAAGTTCCCATGTTCATGTGGTTCCCTCTCTTGCTCTGTGCAGGCAGGTGAGGTTTTCCCTTTGTCTCCTCTGTTTGTGGTGACTTGTGGCTGTGGGCAGTGGCAGGCAAGGGAGCTGTAATTTAGAAATCATTAAATCACTGGATGGTTTGGGTTGGAAGGGACCTTAAAGCTCATCCAGTCCCAATCCCTGCATGGGCAGGGACACCTCCCACCAGCCCAGGCTGCTCCAAGCCCCATCCAACCTGCCCTTCAACACTGCCAGGGATGGGGCAGCCACAGCTTCCCTGGGCAACCTGGGCCAGGCTCTCACCACCCTCACACCAAATAATTTCTTTATCCCCCCTGACCCACCCTAGCCAGAGATGAAGGGCTCCCTGCTCTCCCAGGCCACCTCAGCAGGGCTGGGTAGCTGACAGGGAATGGGAAAAGAGGCATTTCCTACAGATTTATTTCTTGTAGGTGGCTCTGGTCCCCAAGGCAGGGGACAAGCTTGCTTAATCTAAATGTCTGAAGTGGATTTGCCTTTCTCAGAAGCCTCAGAGCTGTCACCGTGCTGGGGAACCAGGAGCCCACTGCCAAGCCAGCCATGAGCAGGGAGGGAAGGTGATGTGGCTCCTAGCAGGGAACTTTAAACCACTTCAAAATCATCACTGTGCTGCTGGAGGCTGTTTTCTGGATATTTGAAACCTTCATTGATATTTTACAATTTGAAGTGATGCCTTTTGTGCCATTGAGCCCCAGCAGCCCAGGCACGTGCTCCTCACAAACCATCCCAGCACCCGTGGGAGCAGGGCTGCTAAGCAAGGGGGGGATACATAGTTATATCATTTTTAATCATTTTATTTTTTTTATTTTCTGGGTTAACTTCAGTTTTCTTGAAAGGAGCAGAGGTGGGAGAAATGGAAACAGCCACGGACTGAAACGTGTAAGAGGTGCCTGATGAAATGCTGATCAAAACTCCTAAGCAGGAGTGCTGCAAAAATAGAGAACTGAGCCCAGCACAGAGCTGGGGCTGCTGAGCAGGGAGGGATGGGGGGATGGCTGTGCCCATCATACCTAGCACCCAAGTGGGCAGCAGGGGAGCTGCCTGGTCATGGGGCTTTTCAGTGGACAAGTCCATGTCTGAGAACAAATGGTTAGACCTAGAGAGAAGTATGGCCCTGGGAGAAGAGGGAGAGCAGAGCTGACCTCAGCAGGGGCTGGTTTCTCTCCAGCACTCAGGGGGCACCACACCAGGCTCTGCCACCTCCTGGGCAACCAGCAGGGACAGGCAGGTTTTTCCCTCTTTCTTGCACGGGTTTTTTTCCCCCCTCAAAAGCCGGCAGCGCTTCTGATGGATGGAAGGGGAAGATCCCCTCTCAGCACATGCAGCTTCCCAAAGGAGAACAGCTCCCCAGGGAGCTGTGCCAGGGTTTGCAGGGGGGCTCTGGATCCACCAGCCCCGGATTCCTGCTACAAACAAGCAGGGGCAGACACGCTTCCAGTAACACGTTGGGAAAGAAACCTATTTGGTTTATTTTCTCCCCCGTGCTGCCCTCTTGAGCTCAGCTTGGGCAGCAGTTTATCCCAGCAGTTTTTCCCCAGCAGTTTTCCCCAGCAGTTTATCCCAGCAGTTTTCCCAGCAGTTTTCCCCCACCAGTTTCCCCCCACCAGTTTCCCCCCCACCAGTTTCCCCCACCAGTTTCCCCCCACCA